TGAACCCTGTTAAAGGAAAGGGAATCATTTCACTTACTTTATTGGCTTTTTTTAAAAATGGAAGCCTGGTGAAACAGAACGGGTACATAATGACTTGTGAATTATTATAGTCATATTTTTTATAAACCCAGAACCTGCATTCGTGTTTAATATATGATCCAAGAGAGAAGCTTATTTCCAGTGAACACAAGCAAAACTTTTTGCTGGATTTCTTAAGGCTATTCCATATGTACAAAATAAAGATTATCTTCAGTTGGTTTGTGAAACATAAAAAACATTTTACCAAATTTTCTGAGGCTTGAGGTGATCTTTTTTTCAAGTTGTAAAAAGCCCCCAAGCAAACAAGAAATAGGAGAAAGAATGATTGTCTGTGGGCAGATGGGCGGACTAATAGCTTGCTACTTCAAAAGAAATAAGGCTTTTCTCTTCCTCTTTTTTTTTTTCTTTCTCCTGACCCTGTCTCTGGTTCTTATCAGATCCTTCCATAAGCCAGCTTAACTGATGTGCAGAGAACAATTTGGCTTTCTTTTGGGTTTATTTTCAGAAGTTTTAGTGCATTAGGGCAGCCCACAGAGTGGTCTGAGAAGCACAGATGTTGGCAGAAGGGAAGAGGCAATGAGCAGAGTCTGGACTGTTGACAGGAGCAGAGAACAAGACCCCTTTGGGCAATCTTGATCTGTTAGGTTGTCTCATTGCATTTCCTCATTCCATCTTTAATGGGTAAGAGAGCAGTAATTGTCAGGCGGTCATAATTACTAGTGTTAAAAGGCTTTAGGCCTTTTTTTGACAAGATCAGTGCAATACAGCTCTAGTGCCACATATTCAATTGTATTACTTGTTTCCCTTAAAAATCTCACTGTAGTAATGTGACCTTTTCTTTTTTTTGTATTAGGTACGAGAAGCTGCTTACAAGATTTTTCTTTACCCAAATGCTGAGCAGTTGAGCCGTTTAGAAGAACTGCTGGCTAGCCGGAACAGTTTGGCACAGCTGGTTGGGTACGACACCTTTGCCCACAGGGCTCTTCAAGGAACAATGGCCAGAAATCCAGGTATGAGGCATGCGTGGAAGGATACGCTGAGAAATCAAATGTGCTGTGTTAGGTATGAGGTCAAAAGTTGTTAGTTTTGTTTGCTAAGTTTACACATATTTCTTTCAGTGAAGTATCCTATTGCAGTTACTTTTCGCTGCATGCAGTACTTGCGCTTTCTATAAATGGCAACACTCACTGAGTAGGAACCAGTGTTTTTGTTCAGAATCAATGCTCACTCTTTAGATTATGAAGTTTCCATTATCCCACCATGTAACAAAATAAATGTACTAAATTATCTTGAAAATATGGCACAGTGGTCAATTGAGTAGTTTGTTGTTCTAAACAGAACTTTGTTCTAAGGGAGCTTGTTTTGTTTGGAATGTTTTTATGTAAACATCTTTTAAGGGAAGAAATCACTTATATTTTTCTCAATTTACTTCTAGAGACAGTAACACAGTTTTTGGAGAAGCTTTCTGATCAATTGTCTAAAAGGTATGTCTTTTTCACTGAGTCTTTTTTTCTGACTATTTATTTCAAGAATAGAGGGACGTGCACTAATAAGTCAGCTGATGCTGCTTATTATATGCTCTGATGAGACAAAAAGCTAGACTTTCTGAGAATTTTGAGAGCTATTGGCTTAGAGTAAGTGCTGTGTCTGTGATTAGAGATCACCCAGGACTGAATGCAACAAGTGATGTGCCAAGAAATGCAGGGAGCAGCAAAGAAGACCACCATGTTCAAGTGTTGAGGAACACCTCTCCTGGTCTTCTCTCCACATGCACAACTCCATGTGTTTTACATCTATATGCAAATTCCCCTGTTTGTCCTTGCCTCCAAAAGCACAAATCAGTTTCATCACTGTGTATAAATTGGGTGTATTTTAAGAAAGAAGCTTCTTTAGTGACGTACAACTGGAGTAGGAGGGACTTGATTTGAAGGTACCTGAATGGCAGAAGCAGAATAGTAAAAGTTCTTTCACCACAGTATGTGAGTCTGCCATTTTATACAGTACTGTCAGTCTCTGATGATGGGCATTTTGTTAGGGTGGAGTATTACTTTATACTGTATTCCATTGCTCAAAAATATTTCATTAACACGTTCATCATAAAAATGTTTTTCAGAACTCAAAAAGATTTTGAAATGATGACAAAGGTGAAATCGAAGCTCAACGCGCAGAATTCAGTAAGTTAAATTTTCATGTGTGGTTTTTTGTTTTATTTCCTTTTTAAAAGATAGTATAAGCTAACCTTGTTCAACAGGAAAATTAATCGTTGGACTCAATGATATTTAAGGTCTTTTCCAACCTAAATGATTATGTGATTCTGTGATTTTGTTTTAGTGTACAACATGTAATATAATTAGAAAGAGAAATTTTGTCTTCCGGCTTCAAATGCTTTGGCTGCTTAGCTGCTATTTGTATTAAAATCAAGCATTGAGTGTGAGATACCTGTTGGTTTATACAAGACAGTACTAAGACAACCAAAACGTAAAGTGGTGAAAGTGAATATTACTTTGTTTTTAATCAGAATCATAAAATTAATGGACTCATTTGAAAAATAAAGGCTGTCCTAATTTTGTACATAACTGGGTTTATATTTTTATGTAAGTTGAATGTATTTCTTGAAATCTGGTATGAAGTCCCGTTATGTATTTGAATAAGAAGTACCATCTTCAAGCAAATGTTAAAAAAAGGTTTCAAATCATGATGGTGCTATTTCTGAAGATGTTTTTGGCATTGAATGTTTCCCATTTCGTTTTAAAGTTCTGTGACTTGTTGAAACTGCAAAAATGTTCAAAGGAAACAAAACTTTTACTTTGGGTTCACTTGTTGTCCATTATTGTAATTATAAGCTGGAGTTCTCTTTCAGAAGCTGATGCCATGGGATCACCCTTACTACAGTGGTGTCCTTCGTGCTGAGAGGTAAGCTCCTTATGTTCTTGATTGTCATGCAAATGAGTGTCTTTATTGCATTCCTTGCAATAAGGATAAAGAAAGTCCTCAATGTAAACAGGATTTCCTTCTTTGAAGATATTCTTTAATATGAAAAATGAAAAGTATCTGATGGGGCAGTTTGTAAACTTTCTTAGTTGCTGCTGGAATGCCTGTGGAAGTTTCTGGCTCCTCTGTTGCTTTAAGGGGAAGTATTACCCCTCTTTGAAGATATGAGGATGAAACCATTTCAGAACAGCTAGAAAATCCTTCTTCTTTTTTTGCTTTTATCTCCTGGCTGAGCTGTAGTAATGTTTTAAAAATAATTTTTGATCGCTGAACATAGTTCAACTCCTCTTCATATTTTAACTGTATTATACTTCTTACTGAACATGCATCTATCATCCCGTGCTACACACTTCTGCAACTTCTTCTTGTTCTTATTCACGGTTTATGGATAGAATTCTTTCTCATCTCTCCTGCAAAGACTTGGAAATAAGTCTTATACGCAGACTTAAACGGAGCACAAGACCTTTGCACACAATGAGATGCCAGCTCTGAAAGATGTGAGCCCTGCGTGTTGCCTTTATTAGATCAGCAGTGGTGAACTTTTAGGTTTGTGTTGGAAAACAGGATCTGAAGTTGTGCTTCGCTCACAAGAGGGAGAGGAAAAATCTTCCATCACTGCACATTTGTAGATTTTTGGTTTTTAAACAAGCTTAGATTGGATATATCTGTTTCAAGTAATAGTTTACTCTGGATCAGACACGGTATGGAAGGTTTGCCAGCAGTTTGGAAGCAAAAATGTGCTTTTGGGTATTTCTTTTGGACTACTGTTGTCACTGTGGCTCCAGCTGATGTACAGAACCATAGTTTCCTAGATATTGTCAGGTACATAAGATGCAGATTATCTTTGCAAATCTAGGTATAAAGCAAGAGACTTCAGGGGTTTAGTTCTTGATTAAATAACTTAGCAGCGTTGTAGCATGTCACTCATACACTACAAAGGGGTGCGAGAAATATTAACTGGGACAGTGTCTATGTCTGTTGAAAATGGTTTACTGTTTCCTGTTTTGGTCTATACAGCCATATTTGCAAACAGAAATGTTGTGGACAAACGTTAGAAAATGTGATCTTGACGTCATCTTTTACTCCTTCTGTAGTCCTCCACTTCTTGACCAGCTACATCAATTTGTCTCAAATAACACTGAAATTGTGACATTTTAATATGTATGTTTTATATCTGTATGTTTTATTTTTAAATTTTATTTATATATTTTACATTCTAAAGATATGTTTATTCTGTATTAGAACAGGATTAGGGAAACAAATCTTTCATTAGATTCTTCATAATTAGTTTTAAGAGCTGGATATTTACCTTTATTTTCACTTTGCTTCTACAGTTGTTACTGAAAGACCATTTCTGCTGTTTTGTAAGTTGAACAGCAGGAGGAGCTCCAGACTTAATTCAAAGAGTACGTTTTTCTTTCTGTAAACTAGCCACAATAATTTTTGTTTCAGTCAGCTTTCACCAAGTCTTTTCCCTGGAGACTTGATCCTACTTCTAAAGTGTAAGTCTCATACTGTTGGTAACAACATTACTGGTTTAGTTTTAAAAAAAATTAAAATCAAATAGCCTCTCTGTCTTTAAACCCACGCTTGTGACACTGTAATGTTTTCGTAGCTATAGTTTAAGTGGCAGAAAAAATAGTTAGTATAGAACTACATTTAAGAGAAACGAGATGAAAGTCTGAAATTTATGGTAGTAGTATCTTAAAAGAACATAGAGTAATTAAGAGAACCTAAAGAATTTTGGCAGGCTAAGGGTAATAAAACAGTGAGTGCTAGAACATGCTTCAGCCTCTAACAAGTAAGAAGATGTCTAATATATCTATATTATAAAAATAATACATTTGAGTTTTAAGTGCAGGCAAGTACTACAGTATTAATTAAATCCCATTACTTCTCAGTAAGTGCAGCTGCAGCTATAAACAATTCTCAAGGCCCTGCTCTTGCAAAGATGTAGTAACCTTGCTGACTTCTTTCGGCTCATAAAAAAAAACCAATCAAACACAACACTGGAAGAGACCTTTTGAGGTCAGGTATGTGCCTTGAAGGTGAGATTGGCTGTGCTTAAGCCACTTCTGACAGAGGCACAAAACTTCTTGAGAACCAACAGTGGTGAGATTGGAGTATTTGGTGCTGACTCCTGTTTCCCTGACCTTTGATGCTTACCAGCCCCAGCTGACTTCACTGGCTGTTGGGATTTTTGCCAAAATGGAAAAGATTTTATTCAACTTGTAACTGGGATGTGCCGGCAGAGTATTGCACTCTGCGCTGCTCTGTCTCTTTGGAAATTCAGAAATAAATAAGACTGGCTTTGGGGATGAACAAATCAATGCCAAAAGGAGCCAGTCTCCTGCTCCATAGGACAGAGAAGCCACCACAGGATGGCCAAAGGGTTGAAACTGAAGGGTTTTGGATCTTGGGGTGTCCAGCTGAGCAGAAGTTAGGAATAACTCATCTCCTTCCTTGTTGAGACTGAACATGGACTTCTGGCTTCAGGGGAGAGTGGGCAGCACTTCTGCCTTTGCAGAAGAGTAGGGACAATACCAAGGTACCTAAACATGACTCTGGATACTTCTAAAGTTGCTAAAAGCTGCAACTGATGTTGAAGTTTGCAAGTTACTTATAAACAAAGTTGTTTATAGCTGCTTTTTCTTAAATTACTTTTG